GAACTACATACAACAGCAAATCAGAAAGAGAATACTAGATATTTAAGTTAAAATGATAAAGGGGTTGACACCAAAAACATGATCCTTAAAAGGAAAAATTGATAAAGTATACCTCATCAAAAGTGAAAACTTCTGCTCTCCAATAGGCCCTGTGAAATAATGAAGATAAGCTGCAGACTGGGGAAAAATATTTGCAGACCACATATCCAACAAAGTACTTGTATCTGGATGATATAGGAGCTCTCAAAGCTGAACAGTAAAAACAAAAAAATGCATTTAGAAAACGGGCAAAAGACATGAACAGACATTTCACCTAAGAAGATGTACAGCTGACAAGCACATGAAAAGGTGCTGAACATTATTAGTTGCTAGGGAAATGCAAAGCATTACAACAAGATATCCCCACACACCTATGAGAATGCTGGGGAGGATGTGGAGAAGCTGGATCGTTCGTACAGTGCTGGGGCCCTTAAATGACACAGCCACTCTGGAATACAGTTGGCTATTTCCTTTGAAACCAAACATGCAATTATCATGTAACCCAGCAACCGAACTCTTGAGCATTTGTTCCAGAGAAACGAAAACCTGTGTTTGTACAAAACTTGTACGTGAATGGTCATAACAGTTTTATTCATGTCGGCATAAAACTGGCAACAACCTAGATGTCTTCAACTGGCGAAAGTTTAAACAACTATGGTATATTCAAACAGTAGAATACTACTGAGCAAAAAAAAGGAGTAGACTATTAATTATAAACACAACTGGGATGGATCTCAAGGGGATTTCACTTAGTGAAACAAGCCCAGCTCCAAGGTTATGTACTGCATGATCCAATGTATAGACAACGTTTGATATGACAACTTGATAGAAATGGAGAACAGATTTTTGGGTTCCAGGTTGAAGAACAGGGTGGGAGAGTGAGGGAAGTCGGTGTGCTTCTAAGAGCAGCCTGAGCCTTGCAGAGATGGAGCACTTCTGTATCTTCATTGTAGTGGTGGTTACACAAAGCTATACACGTGATAAAATCGCATAAAATTTTGCACGCACACACATGCGTGCACACACACACACTCATAAAACTCGTGAAATCCAAATTAAACCAATGAGTAAAGATATACAAGAAAGGAAGGAAGCTTTGATAAAGAAAACCTAGGCAGACATTTTAAATACAAATCACATGTTCAGAAATGAAAAATATTGTCACCAAAATAAACAGCTTAAAAGGCAAATTAAACAGCATATCAGGCATAGCCGAAAAGAGAATTTGTTACCTTAAAAAATAGATTTGAATAAATCATGCAAAATGCCACATGGAGGGATTAAGAGATGGCAAATGCATGAGAGAAGTTCAGAGAGAGGGCACATCCCTCTCAGAGGATGCCACATCCCTCTCACAGGAGCTTTTGAAGGAGGCGATGTTCAGGGGGAAATAAATGAAAATTTGCCATATTTGAAGAAAGTTCTAAATGCTCAGCTTGACCAGGCATAAAAACAAACAAACAAACACAGGCAAATGATGGCAAAACTACAGAAGACCAGAGATAAAGACAAAGTCTCAGAAGCAACCACAGGGGAAGGGGAAGGACATAGTAGCACAAAAGGGGAGCTATTATTAGACTGACAGCAGATTTCTCCTCAGCAACAATACAGTTTGAAAGATTAGACTGATATCTTCAAAGAGATAATACGAGAAAATAATAAGAGAAAATAACTAACTTAAAATTGTACGCACAATTAAAGTATGTCTTCAAATGAGGCTAAAATAAAATCATTTTTAGACAGAGAAAAATTTATTAGTCACAGGTTCTCACTAGAAGATCTATGATAGTTATTTCTTCCTGGAGTTCAGGAAGAAAGAAACTGAAACCAAAGTGGAGAAATGAGATGCAAAAAATAGTTGAGAGGGGCACCTTTGTGGCTCAGTTGGTTGAGCGTTCGACTCTTGATTTTGGCTCAGGGTTGTGATCTTGGGGTCATGCACTGACAGCCCAGAGCCTGCTTGGGATTCTCTCTCACTCTCTCTCTCTCTCTCTCTCCCTCTGCCCCTCTATCCTACTTGTGTTCCCTCTCTCTCTCTCAAAAAAGTTGAGAGATAAATTGGCAAACATGTAGATTAAATCCACACAAATATTAATTGTAAAAAAAATTAATACTACGGGAGAGTGATTGGAGGACAGGAACAAATTGTAAAAAATACAAATGAAGGAAAAAAGGTCAAACGGGAGTTGGGGAGATTAAATTTAAAGAATCTAAGGCCTTTGTATTGTTTGGGAAGGGGATAGAACTCTTGGTTAACTGGAAACACTGTTAACAACAACTGTACATGTTAGATATTAACAATAGCCAAAAAGCCTCTAAAAATATAGATATGTAATATACAACTTTCCAACAAATAGAAGGAAAAAGAGGACTTACAAAATCAAGACAATACTTGACAGGAAAAGAGAAATAAAGAAAGAACAGGATAAATAGAAAATAACTTGCTAAAATGAATACCAAATATATCAGTACTCAAAAGAAAAAGGATGATTTTTCTGACTCCCTCAAAAGTCACCTATTCTTAGGGACACCTGGGTGCCTCAGTCAGTTAAACATCCCATTCTTGGGATCCCCATCTTGATCATGATCTTACAGTTTGGGAGATCGAGCCCCATGTCAGGCTTTGTGCTGACAGTGCAGAGCCTGCCTGGGACTCTCTCTTTCCCTATCTCTCTACCCCTCCCCACCTCAAAATAAATAAATAGGCATTTTTTAAAAGTCAGCTATTGTCAGAATGGATTTAAAAAACAACAAATTCCTGCCATATGTTGATGAAAAAAAAAAGATTTTTCAAAAAATACCAGGAAAATATACATTTTTAAAAAGCTGGTACACCAACATTATTATTATACAGAGTAAATGTTAAAGCAAAAAGTATTATTTGTGATAGAGAATATCATTATTTAATAATGAAAGGAAAAATAATTCTGTCTTGTTTGATGCCAGGTTTTATTTTCACAGTCTTGAACAACACCTGGCCCATGGTAGGTGCTCAGGAAATGAATGGTTGAATAAATTAAGTCATGAGGAAATTACAGATGTAACAGCATAGCCTTAAAATATACAGAGCAGAATCTGACAAAATTCTAAGGAAAACTGATAAATCTATAATAACATTGGTCGATTTTTAACATTTGTCATACAGGAAATAATGAGATCAAACAGAAAAATTTAGTGAAAGATACAGAAGATTTGTGTTCCTGACTTAACAAATAGACATATAGAGAACCCTATACCCCACAATTATAGAATACATAATTTTTCAAAATCATTTAAAAAATTGCATAGAAAACATTTTACAAATATTAACCACATGCCAGACCATAATGGAAGTCTTAACAAAGACTACATACAGAATTCATATATAGATCATGTTTTCTGAGCACAATCTGATAAAGTTAGAAATAAATAACAAAAAATAGTTTTTTAATGTTTGGAAAATTGAAGACAAGCTTTGATTAATATAGTCTTCAAAGAAGAAATAATTATGCATATGAAGTACATAGAAAGTGAATGGCAATGAAAACACTGTATATCAAACTCAGTACTAATAGCACAAAAGGAAAATTTATTGCCCAGCATGGATATGTTTTAGAAAGAAGAATGAAAATTAATGAGCTCAATTTCTAAGTCCAAATATTAGAAAATGCATAATGGAGTATGCAAGAAAGTAGAAGGAAGCAAATAATAAAGATAACAGCACACATTCATGAAATGAAAAACACTGTAACAGTGCTATTCCTTTGAAGAAGCTAAGAAGGTAACGTTTTATTTACTTTGAGACACTTTTTCCCACATTTTACATCTCTGAAGTATTTTATGATTGGTGATATCTAAGATTCAATTATATATGATAGACAAACTTCTGGTAGGGTTGATCAATGAAAAAAAGAAAGCACAAACAAGCAGTATTAGAAATGATATGAAGATATAACTACAATTACAATAAAAACTTCTTTGACCAACTAGTGCTGATAAATTTGAAAACAAATGGCATGGTTTTTTAAGATAAAGTATTAAATTTAACTTGAGAAGAAACAGAAAATATTGCTAGACTTCTGACCATAAAATGGAATAATAAATAAATCTACCACAAAAAAAAAATGAAGCTCATAATATTTTATAGGCATTCATTTCCAGAAAATGAACTCAAAAACAGAAATTTCATCTTAGGAGGCTAGTGTATTCTTGATGCCAAAACCAGACAATGGCTATGAAAGAAAGAAAAATATGGTTCAATCTTCATTATGAACACAAATATAAAAATATACTAGACAAGATAATAACAAGCCAAATCTAGGAACATAGGTTTGTTTTTTTAAAAGAAATAATGACCAGTTTGGTTTATCACACAGATATAATGAGGAATTACCCTAAGAAAAAAAATCTACTGTTTCATTTCAATGCATTAATAAATTAAAGAAAGAAAACCACCTAATCATCTCAGAGGATCCAGGAAAAGAGTTCAATAAAATTCAACATCCACTTGTGATTAAAAAAAAAAATCCAAACCTATAAAACTCTTAATTATAAAAGGACACCTCCTAGCCTAAAAAGGAGTACTGACTAAAACCTACAGAAAATATAATCAATAGTGAAATGTTAGAAGCATTTTTACATTCAGGGAGAAAAGACAAGAATGACCATTATCACTACCTCTATTTAACATTGTTCTGGAGATCCTGTTCAAGAAACAAGTAAAATGTGTACGAATTAGAATCATAGAAACAAAACTCTCATTATATATATATATATATATATATATACACACATACATACACTATGAGATATATCTACTATGAGATAGACATAGATATAGATAATGTTTATTTTGAGAGACAAAAAGTGTGCAATCAGGGTAGGGACAGAGAGAGAGAGGGAGAGAGAGAATCCCAGCAGGCTCCATGCTGATTGTGTGGAGCCCAACGTGGGGCTTGAGCTCATAAATCATGAGATCATGGCCTGAGCTGAAATCTAGAGTCTAACACTTAACTGACTGAGCCACCCAGACACCCCTCATAGCATATTAATTATAGTTGTTTCAAATTCTCTTAAATAATGTCTGGGATATGCAATTCTTTCTGTTGTATTCCCCTGTTAGTATACAGGGGCCTTCTTGTTCTGGTGGTGTGAAGGGTGGGGGCAGGGGAAGTAAGTATTCTATTGTCCCATGGTTAGGTCACAGACTTTTAATGAGCCTTTGCCCCTGGGCTGTGACTTTCCAAGTGCTTCTCGGTTTTGTTTAACTTTTACCTCCTTAGATGAGACAAGAAGGTTAGAGGGGGCTGATGTTGGATATTTCCCTTCCCTCCGGTTGGTTAGTCTTTGGCAAGAACCCAGTCAGTTAGGCTCTGGTAAAATAGTTTCTCTTGAGGCCTTGTTAAGAACAGAATGATAAGGACAGAATCCTCTGGGCATATTTCAAAATAGAATTTAAAGTGTCTATACCAAGACACCAAAACCATAATTGAAAGACGAGTTCCAAGTTGGCCAGGTTGTAGAGCAACAGGAACTCTTATACATGGCTGGTAGATATCTGGGAGAGCACAACCTCTTTGAAGAGCGATTTAGTGTTATTTAGTAGACGTGAACGCGCGCATACCCTCGGCCCCAGCAATTCCATCCTTAGATCTACACTCTGCACTATTTGCCAACACACTTCAACGTGTTGCTGTTTGTACTGATGATGCAGAAGCAATTGTAGGTAAAACTGCTGGTGATTTAGTACGAATCAAACGGTGCCAAACTGTTTTGCTCGTCATTGTATTCTTTACTGTCAGGGGCTTGAAGTAAAATCGTCGTCATCATCATCATCACCATCATCATCATCCAGTTCTACTTAGTAATTAAAAAAAAAATTTTTTTTAACTTATTTTTGGGACAGAGAGAGACAGAGCATGAACGGGGGAGGGGCAGAGAGAGAGGGAGGCACAGAATCGGAAACAGGCTCCAGGCTCTGAGCCATCAGCCCAGAGCCCGACGCGGGGCTCGAACTCCCGGACCGCGAGATCGTGACCTGGCTGAAGTCGGACGCTTAACCGACTGCGCCACGCAGGCGCCCCTAAAAAAATTTTTTTTAAGGTTTATTCATTTTTCAGAGACAGAGACAGAGAGTGAGGGGGTGGGGGGAGGAGCAGCCTGAGAGGGAGACACAGAATCCGAAGCAGGCTCCAGGCTCTGAGCTGTCAGCACAGAGCCCAACGCGGGGCTTGACTCACAGACCGTGAGACCATGACCTAAGTTGGATGCTTAACAGACTGAGCCACCCAGGTGCCCTTTTATTTATTAATTTTATTGACGAAGCAGTGAAAATTATTTATACATTTTATTAAATCTCAACTCTGAAGTACATGTCTTCTTAATATTAACATTCTGTGTAATGAAACAGAAAATACACATCAAGCGTTTCTGCGCACCGAAGTATGATGGTGTCTCACGGCAGAACACATGCCTCTTTTTTTTTTTTTTTTTTTTTGAGCTATGAGCTGAACTAGCTGCTTTTTTCATAGAACACCCTTTCTACTTGAAAGAAAGACTAAAAAACTATGGTTATTCAGACTTGGGATTTTGGCAGGCATTTTCTCATAAATGAACAAAGTGAGCCTGTCACTTCAAGGAACTGACTACATCTGTTGCCAAAGATAAATTTTGAGCTTTCAAGCAAAGTTAGAATTTTGGAAAATTTGTATTCACTACCATGACCTTGACAGTTTCCCAATTTTAAAAAACGTTTTTATGATGAAATCAGTGGTGATATAAATAAATGTGTTTTTCTTAATTTTTTAATGTTTCTTTATTTATTTTGAGAGAGAGAGAGATAGTGGGGGAGGGGCTGAGACAGAGAGGGAGACAGAATCCCAAGCAGGCTCTGCACCATCAGCACAGAGCCCAATGTGGGGCTCAAACTCAGGGACCGTGACATCATGACCTGTGCCAAAATGAGGAGTCGAACGCTTAACTGACTAAGCCACCCAATAAATGTGTGTGTGGGGGGGTTTGATATTATATAATAAAACCTGCTGACATTTGTAAGGCATGTATAACTCAGTGAACCAATGTCTCCCAAATGACCAAGAAAGATCAATGGGTTTTAGTGTAACAAAGGATGAGAAACTCGTTGACACAATTTCAGATTCCACATTTGGAACTAACCTTTAAGAAACTATCACTTGTAGACTCTTGATTTAGTATCTTTGATGAAGAATATCCAAATTATCTAAGAAGGTTATTAAAATACTCCTCCCCTTTCCAACTACATATTTGGGTGAGGCCTGCTTGTCATCCTATGCTTTAACCAAGAACTTATTACAGCAGATTGAATACAGAAGCAGATATGAAGATCCAGCCGACTTCTATCAAGCCAAACACTGAAGAGATTTGCAAAAATGCAAAAACAACGACCTTCTCACTAATATTTTTGTTTCGTAAAATACAGCTATTTTTTTATTTAAAAGCATGTTATTTATGGTAAAATGTAGTAGGCTTATTATTGCTATTTTTAAATGAATTAATACAGAGATATTTTTAAAATTTCTCAGTTTTAATTTCAAACCATAAAGATCAGTAGATAAAATCCATATAGACAAAAGCTATTTGGGGTTACAGCAACGTTTGTGAGTCAAAAAAATTAAGTTACTAAATGTTTATCGAGAAGGGAATGGATAAATACACTTTGATAGAGTCATAAAATACAACAAAACACCTCTCTGAAGTTAAATGAGCTAGATTTATATGTATTAATGTGGATGATTTGGGAACATGTTGAGAGAAGTAAAAACAGGTTGCAAAATGAGGGGCACAGAATGATTGCACTGACACACATCTCAAAAACAGAGCGATAGGGGCGCCTGGGTGGCGCAGTCGGTTAAGCGTCCGACTTCAGCCAGGTCACGACCTCGCGGTCCGTGGGTTCGAGCCCCGCGTCGGGCTCTGGGCTGATGGCTCGGAGCCTGGAGCCTGTTTCCGATTCTGTGTCTCCCTCTCTCTCTGCCCCTCCCCCGTTCATGCTCTGTCTCTCTCTGTCCCAAAAATAAATAAAAAACGTTGAAAAAGAATTAAAAAAAAAAAAAAAAAAGAGCGATATTGTCGGCTTACGGATACCTCCATAGTTAGTAAGAATATACGCTCCTGTGGAAACACAAGAGGATACATATCAACCTCGGAGGCTGATATGTATCAGGGGAAGGTTCAAACGTATACACAAATCATCTAGAAAAAGATGGAAGAAACCATGGCACGAAGTTAATGTTTACTCTCTGGGGCCATAGGTATTGTTCTGTAGCTTTCTATTCACTTGAAATATCACAGCGTTAAAATATACTTGGTTTTAAATGCCTCTGTTGCATTTGCTGTCAGTGAAGAAATATTCAACTGGCTGGTTCCCAGCAGAATAACATTTTCTCCATTCAGGGCCGGACAGCCAGCTGTCCTGCTTTTTGCCGGCTGCTTCTTGACCCTAGTAGATGACTTGGGATATTTGAAGAGTAATGTCTTTTCTGCCTGCAGAGCTCTTGATCCTGGGTTCTCAGTCATGGCCGCAAAGGAAATTCTCCCTCAGGTTTCTTGCAGAACTCCCGCAGCTGTCAGGGAGGGCAGGCAGCCAGCACGCCCAGAGACAACTTGAGCCGGCATCAGCATGGTTCCCGCTTGGGGCAGGAGCCCTGACACAAAGTATCCTGTTCCTGTTCCTTTTCCTTCTGAAGCCAGAGAGCAAGCCTTTGATTCATGGGGCGATGATATCATGTAGTCCTGCTGGGTGTAGCCGGGCTCCAGGCGAGCATCTGGGAGGCACCTAATCCCCTCCCCACACCCAGCACTCCCTGGAGCCTCATGGGCCCCACGGGATAGTTTCATGGTAGAGCTGAGATGATCTTTGTACCTTTAAATTCAGACATTCGCTCTGAAGCCACTCAGCTTCCCGGCATTTTTATTGAGAATACCCTCGGCGATAATTTTCAGACTTCGCGGCCTCCGATAAGGAGGAAGAGCTTGATATTCTGGTTTTGTTTCTGTTTGAAGAGCATATCCCCAAAGGAGTTGCATGTGTCCCAGATTCAACACAGCTGTTAATTAGAGCTGAGAACACTTGGTTGACCCCTGTGTGGCTAATTGCTAGAATTGAGAAGCGTCTCTAAGGGCCTCCTATGATAACAACTGAAAATTGTACTGAGCATCACCTAACGCTTCTGGAAGCAGTTCAGGATGGGAAGCAATAGGCTCCCTGCAGCTCCTGGCGCGAGAGAAGCAACTATGTGCTGAAGGAGCAGTATTAAGGATTCTCTTCAGTGATTAAAACACCCACATTTCACTTTGGATGTGTGACTTGAGGCAGTGTGCACAGAAGGCCTTATCACAGTGCTCAGAACGGTGCGGCACAGCATACGTGGCCTACTTCGGAGGGCTTCGACTCCCCCTCTGACATCTCACCCCAGGGTCAGTGCCACCACCGCCCCTGGGCCAGTGCTGTGGGTCAGGGCAGGAAACAACTCCGGTGAGGAGTGGGGACGGCTGTGAGCAGCTTCTGAGGTGCCGTCTGAAGCAACCGTTCTGTTTCCCCATGTTAAACGGACCCCTGAGACTCACTCTTACAATGAGGAAAATGTATGGAAAGCACCTAGTTCCCTGCCTGGTATGAAAAGAGTGGCCATCACCTCCCTTCCCGTTGGCTCTGCGAGCAGAAATAACTGAACGGAAATGTCCACGGACAGGGCGAGAACTGGGCTGGAAAGAAGAGGAAGTAACAGAGGGAAGAAAACGAAAGCCGATTGTCAGAGAGCCGGCCAGAGGGACGTCGGTTAGGGAGAGGGGAAAAGGGGAGGCAGCCAGGGAAGAGGAGGAGGCAGGGAGGGCCGAAGAGCCACTTAGGGGAGGTGAGGGAGAGAAGTGGCTCTTCCTCCTTCCTCCCCAGGTCCTGGGAGAGAGTAAAACTCAGCAGCACCGGCAGCAGCAAGTGTTTTGGGCTTCTCAGCCAAGAGGCCCAGATCATACCCCAGATAGTTTAGTGGCCTGGCGGACTCCGCTCCCTTGGCCTGGCCTAAGGAAGGTCGCCTGGAGCCAGCAG